ACTTAATGAAAGCTGCAAGGGATAGAGGGGGGTGGAGAGCCATGATTGCCTACGCCCTGAAAGGACATGGCACATAAAAAGAAAGAAAGAGTTTCCTTTCTCTGTTAAAACACTTCCTAGATATTTAAATTTTACTACATGGTTGATTTTAACATCTTCAATTTGTGATTCTCAGGTCGGGCTCTTCGTTTTGCTGATAACTACACGTTCTGTTTTCTTACAATTGATGTTTAGTCCTTTTTTCTCGCTTTCCTTTAATACCTTCTGTAGAAGTTCCTATATTTTCCATAGCTTCATGTCTCGCACCTCTCGCCTGTGGAACCCCCTTCCCTATTCCAGTTTCCCTAAGAGCTATAATCTCCAGCTATTCAAATGTAATGTCAATGGACATCTCCAGTTGCCTTGATCTATCCACCACCCTTCTCCTCATCCTTTCTTTTATCACTCCTATCTGATCTTGCTCCAAATTTTCTGTAACACCTTGCGTCCTAGTGGCTTCCCGCTTTGCTTGGAATGAAACGCTTAAAAAAAATGATGTTGTTAAGACCGTGGCCGCTAATAATGAATCTTGGTAGGAATTATAATTTTCTTAGAATCACCTCACTGTAAATGTTGGATGGGTCCAGAGTGAAGATACATCCTTGAAATAATACTACTCTGGATTGAATCAGAAAATACAAAAAAGAGCATTCACGGAATTTCTCATACTTCTCATTACTGCTTTGAAAACAACTCAAAAACTCAACCTATTTTAAACGTATCTTATTTCAAAAAATTTAATCCTACAAGTCGAATTCATACAAAAATACTTTTCTTCCTTACACACAAAAGAAAGGAACATTACCAAACGAATTTATAATGTTTTCATTTATCGAACTGCATCGATTTAAAAAAAAACAAATAATGTATGTCGATAGATGAATTTATATACGTGAATAATACGTTTTTTTAAATTATTTTGCATTACCCGAACTTTCTTTGGGTATTTTATTTCTGCGATTAAAAAAAAGAAAAAACAAACAATACTTATGCAACAAGTTATACGATTTCTTTTTTTCTTTTTTATAAGCAACTGTAGAATTTGACAAGTATTCAGTCATTTAAGTGTTATATGTAATACGCGCTTGGGTGATCACGCCTCTTTCGATTCATGACAGAAAATTTTTCCATAACTAGGAGAGAAGAGATAGATTCATACATTTCTCAAGGATATTTGTGCGCAAGTGAATCTAACAAACCCGAATAGAATTCGAACTCGGCTCTCCGATTTATCATGCCGAGACGATAGCCACTACACCATAACGCACATCAAGTACGCTGGTTGCTCAGTTTTTTCGCAAGAAACTCTATTCAAATTGCTCAAACGTTTCATGTTTGTATCTAATCGAAAAGAAAGACATTTCAATGTAGCGAGACTAAGAGAAATGGTAGAATATATATTTCCTATAAAAATATTTGTTCTCATCAGCACACTAAGTTAGTATTTGGTGTGCCGCACAGAATGATATAGACACGATGGTAACTGTGAAAATAATCCTTAAAACCAATGCCGCTTATATCACGAAATATAAATGAATCGTTTACTTACTGTGACGCTATCCAATGAGACTTCTGGATGCACAAGACCTTTGGAGTGAATGTAGACCAAACCAGAAACAATAGCATTGAGAATGGTCGGCAAGACATCTTTATTGATCATTGGTAAAGAAGCTCGTCGATGTATTGTGCTAAGTCGGCTTCGGATAGAAACAAGACGCTGTTCAGTAACGACAGGCGGTAACTGATTATTTTCAGTCAACATTAATCCGAGAAATTTAACCACTGATTCGTGATGTAGAAGTCTACAAATAAATAATGAAAAATTTGAAAATAAGGAAACTGTGAAGATTACTTTAAATTCAGATTACTGCGAAGAATATATAGCATCAAGATGATTATGGAATTCTTACGAAGATTATTAAGTTATTATGAAGATTTTTTTTTTTAAATTTAGATCATTGTGCTGGATATGATACAAATTATACTGCCGATAATAATAATAATTTCAAGGAAGAAGGTGTAACTTACTCCAGTTTTTCTGCCTCTGTGTAAACATTTTCAATTTCAACATGAGAGAAGTATTTTCTGATTGTAACCTCATCTTCACCGAAAAAACCGTGTACAATCTTGAAGAACAGTCCTTGTTGTGTCCGATTTCTTGGGGGCTCAATGACGATCCCAGAATCGATGACAGAGCCCCTTCTACCGGATGATGAAGATGGTGACTTGTCTGACATCTTCACGGCTTCCCGCTTGATTACACGACTGAAATGGTTGTCGTAGCCGAATTGGACAATGTTATCTTTCAGCGAGATAATCTCAGCCAGAGCATTGGCGTAATTTTCTTTTTCCAATCGATGTTTCTCGTGGTTCTCTTCGATCTCTTTGATTAATTCCTTATTCGTTTTGATTAGCTTCGGTATGCTGTGTTGTACCATACTCAAATAGTGGCGCATCGGCGCCAACTGACAATAAACAAAGTCATCTTGATTATTATTGCTGATGAAGTCGGAAATAGTATTGCGCGCCGTAGACTCCATATATTTTCTTGTGTTCCGAATGGATTTATTGAAACTTCCTTTCTTTAAAACGCCCATGGCAGACATGAAAAAGCGGCCCATGATCGAGAAGGGGATTTTAGTGGGCTGAGATGGTAGGCGCCAACTGTTGACGCTCACACTACTTGGACGACGACTTGAAGATACATTCGGGAGGCCTATCTCTGGGTAGGGTTCCTTTAAAGCCGGAAGACGCGGCAGTCGAAAAAGAAAAACGAAGAATGATTTTAATTAAGAGAGACGAAATCAGGGAGAAATATTAACAAAAAACATTTAAATCTATATTATAAAGGAAGAGAGTATTTTATGTCCATCACACGCTGTCTGCGTGCAATTTTCCATGTTCTTTTGTAATGTATACGCGTGTACCTGCGTTCTGCGTGAATCAACAACATATGAGTGTGTCATCGAAATCATATACAAGTAGGCACACACACGCGCGAGCGTGCGCACATACCAACACGCACAATTTGAATCTCATCAAGATTATTGCGGTAATGATGGAATTCTTACAAAGATTATTAAGTTATTAGAAAGACTATTTAAAAATTCGGATTATTGTGATGGATATGATAAAAATTATAGTGTCAATAATGATAATTTTACGGAAGAAGGTGTAACAGTTTGAAATAATACATTCCCTTCCCAAGCCATACCATAAGCTGAGCGATAGAATCATAAAGTTTCAGACGAGGCAAAAAAAAACGGGTAATTTTTTAAGCTCTAAAATAGGGATGTCTCTCATACAACACAGACTGAGAATGTAGGTTCCACATGTCAAACTGGAGAGCAACGACAAGGGCCGCGTATTACATACTGGCTGAGAGTAACTGACGAAATATTAGAGTGAATAAAATATTAAGTAATGAAAGTTCAACTCTCGTGTTATCATTTATGCAGTACCCCCACTTCTTTACAATCTTTTGAACGAGCGCTTGTATGCTTTGAAAAACGGCAAGAGTTTTCAGCATACTCTTTTATATTCATGCAATCATTTGTGTCAACACTGCTTAAAAGTACTTAGCGACAGGAGAGTTAATTTTATAATTTTAGACCGACAAAAAGAATTAGTCATCTTTTATGATAATGCCAAACTATGACAAATTATCAACGAAAAGACCGCCTTTACTCGGAATTCGGGAAAAGATCAAGGTGATGTCTGCCGTGTTTCTACCCTCGAATACTTCACAGAAAAGCTTCGAGGGATGTCTGATCCAGAGGATTTTAAAATTGCTGTAGTACGTACCTAATTGGACTAAAAAAAAAATAGAGATAGAATGGTGGATATCGACGCCAACGAGACAGTATCTGCAAGTCCTGGGCATTTTTGTTCTTGGCGTGTAGGTATGGCACCCCATATTAAATCAAGCTTTATTTCACATCCTATCACAAAGGTGGGGTCGGTGCATAGCTTCGGGATGTGACCAAAGTGTAGTATCTGTTTCATTTTCTCCCTCGTGTTTCTGCTTTCGAACACTTTGCAATATGAGAGACCTGGTCACGAGGATTCCAACCTTGAAGACAACACATTCTCCATTACACTAATGAAGGAAAGTGGAAGGATTCAACGTGAACGGGACAATGGTTGCGAGGACTGGGTACTTTTTGTTTTGGTTCATATGTGCGTATTCAGGCACATCAGAACCAAGGACAAATATTACCTACGCGAAACCGATCATATGTCACATACTATCACCAAAGTTGAGGTGTTGGTAAATTCAAACAAATCCCTCTCAATATACAGAAATGTACTTGGCATATTTAATATTTAAAAAATTGAATAAAAAGATGTCTTTTTTGTTTACTTTACCCGCATAGTAGCTTCTATTTCATCAAGTTCCTCTTGCAAGACGTACATCTTCTTTTTGATAAGCTGAATCAATGTATTTTGCATGGAGTTAAATTCTTCTTGCATATCTTTCCAGTTCATCAGTAGGTCTGATATTTTCTTTTCCAAAATTTCTGACAGATACAAGTCCTTGTTTTTCTCTGCTTTTACCTGCAAATAAACCGAATCATTATGATTAACATGTCAGAAAATCAACCATCCATCAATCAATATGTGATTTTGTTATACCATAATACCTATTCTATTGTAATAGACTCTCCCACAGATAATAAGTAGTAGTAGCAGTGGCCAGTTGAGCTCAGTGGTGTTGAGTGAGTCAGTCGATGTCGGACATTGAAGTATCAACCATCACAACTAGATTGCTGCGTCATTTACTCTTATTTCAAGTTCCTAACGTTTTGTACGTTGAACCTAATTTAGGACGACTTAGTTGAAATACAAGCCTCCACTGTGAAAACTACTCTACAACAAATTTTGAGGAACCAATTGTCGTATTTGGAAGAACAAAGTTGATAAACAAAAACGGAAATTATTTACGACTCAACCTAATACAATACGTAGGGAAAAATAAGGAATAACATTTTTGATAGATAACGTCAAATAAAAAATTGCATTGCAGTGAATTGATTGATTCGGCCGGTTTACTTGCTGTCATTTCTTTTATGCTTTCTAATATTTTCTTGTTTGTACTGTACCAGATAAAATCTGATTTGATTTATTTTTTACGGATTATCATTACTCTATGGGTTATTTAAAGCCAAAATATATTTTGGATTGTAAGAATATTTTTTTCTTGCGAATAAATATTGCATTAAATATTTTCGGAGAGTAACAATGATTTTTCCAGATATAAGTTCTACTATTTAATCCATAGGTCAGAAGAGAAGATGAATTCATACCTTTCCCAAGAGTTTTTGCGCATAAGAAAATGTAATGAACCTAACTGGAATTGGAACTTGGTTCGCTGATTTTTCCTTTTATAATTCACTATAGCAGGCTTCGCCCGTTCGCTATCGCTTCGCAAAATAAGATATATTCACTACTTGAAATCTTTGAAAAAAAAATTTAAATGAACATTTCATTTATAAATTGGATTGTTATAATTAAGGAAAGGTTTACAAATAGATGCCACCTTGCCGAAATCCAAGTAAAATGCAAATTTCAAAGACTTTTCTGCACTATATAAGACGATATTCCTAAACAGAACTATTTTTGATATGAAAATCAAAACAATCCTCAAATAAAAGAACAGTAATGAAGAACAGTTAATTAATGAAATATTTTTTTAAATCGATATGCAAATTAGTTAAACCTGAAAGTGATATTGCCTAGTAGATAATATATAATAGAGCTATTGATCATTGAGCCTCTTTCTCGTTGATTTACTTGACCCCCAGATTTATTTACTTGACCCCCCCTCCCCCAACTGAGTCAGGTTGTGACACAAGGTCTTCACGCGAGCCGCTGGCCTTAGCTGGTCTCAAACTGGTCAGAGCCGGTCCAAGCTAATCAGAGCTGTGATACTGCCAAACGGTTCCCTGTGACCGACAAGTATCAGAATGTGTATGCCAATCGAGAGAGAGAGAGAGATCCGTCTCTGAGCTGGTAGTATCACGGCCATGACGACCTTGAACCAGCTTTAACCTGTTTAAGACCATCTTTGACTACCTTATCTCAGCTTGGACAAGCTAAGACCAGTGCACCTGAGAGACTCGGGACCCCCACCTTAAAAACTGAACTTGAGGCCAACACTACCGACGATTGCGGGCAACTTTTTTGTCCCTAGACTGGGTGTACGCGCTCGGGTCCCCACCTTAAAAACTGACCTTGTGTCACAACTCGTCTTAGTGGAGAGACAGAGTAAATACCTAGTGTGTAAGCCGCTCTCTCGAATGGTATACACATTCTGATACTTGCCGAGCCTAGGGATGCGTCCCTGCACTGGTAGTATCACAGCCATGACTAGGTTAGACCAGCTTTGACAAGCTATAACCAGTTAAAAACTGACATTTTGTCACAACCTGACTCAGCGGGGGCGTCGGGGTCAAGTAAATCAACCACTCTCTTCAATGGTATACACATTCTGATACTTGTCAGGCGCAGGAATCCGTCCCTGCGCTGGTAGTATCACAGCTATGACTAGCTTGGACCAGCTATGATCAGCTTAGACTAGCTCTGACAAGCTTGGACAAGCTATGACAAGCTAAGACGAGCGGCCCAAGTGAAAACACTTGGGTCCCCACGTTAAAAACTGACATTGTATCACAACCTGACTCAGTGGGGAGTCAAATAAATGCTATGACTAGCTTGGAGATTTACTAAGCAAAGCTTATTTGTCATACAATGCCGAGATTAAGGAGCACGCAATGCGGATCGCACAGACTACTCACTCGTAATTGATCTTGCGAGACAACCTGCTATTACATCACGTCGAAGTGCCAATTGATTTTCTAAGCGTAGATTAGATTTGTCACAAGGTCGAAAGTATGGAGCACCGAGTGAGAATGGAACTCACTACTATGTCATAATTGATCTTACGAGACGAAACTAACAAATTGTTAATATTATTTGTATTCAAGTTTGTTTTTTTGTTTTTTCATCTTATTTATTATAAAACGCAGATTGTGTGTGTGTGTGTGTGTCCGTACGTTTATATATTGGATCGGATTTCCTACATTTTTCAACCGATTTCAACAAAACTTCATAGGACTACGTAAAATTACGTTGCGGTGGCTCTGACAGCGCCAAAAATTGGAAAAACACAATTGTTTTGCACGAAATCAATTTGAAAACACGATTAAGAGGCATTAATGAAAAGGGGACAAATCATATCGAGTTATACTTATTAATATCGAGTTATACTTATTATAAAACCCAGATTGGTTGTGTGTGTGTGTGTGTTCGTTTATATATGGGATCAGATTTGCTACATTTTTCAACCGATTTCAACAAAACTTCACTTTTTTTTCGCAGGTAATGTCTCTTATTGTCTTGCACACTTTTTTCTTTATTTTTACATTCAGAATGCTTTAAAAATTCCATTTACAAGACAATTGTTTATAATAAAGTTCTATTCAATCGATAGACTCATAACGATTGAAAACAATGTTTTTGTTTGAGTTTGGGTTTGACCAATTCGTAAAAAAAATAAAATAAAAAAAAATAAAACTAATTAAGACATGCGTATCCGTCAACCTTAAACAATAATCTTTGTCAATTTTATTTTTCAGTCTTTATGATGGTTGATACTTGATCTATCTCTTACTGTTACATCCCCGGGCAACGCCGGGCTCTACTGCTAGTCGCTAATGAATATTGGCTTTCACTGGAAACTAAATGGTAGCCATTCTTAAAATTTCTGCACTACACAATATTCTAGTTAATTTCAGTAATGACGTCAACAGCAGGCGTAACCAGCCTTTCATGAATGTCATTTTTCAATGCATCAATTAATTCTTGTAAATTTAAATATGTACATGTTTCGAATTCTTTTAATACACTTTATTACTTTTTCTCTGAGAATGTCTGGGATGAGGAGTCATCGTTATTTATACTGTTTATATTCGGACTCTTGTCTTCATCTTTGTTGTTGTTATCACAACGTTTCGGCCGTTGTGGCCCCTGCTTGCCTCAGGTATATATCGATCTGGGTAAGCTACAAGGAATTCTGAACTGAAGCCCTTATTTAATCTACGAGTGCAGACAGTGAGTGTGAATTCAACCGCTATCCTAATATAAAGAGTGTAAAGTTATTACTTTATTTACACTGTTTATATTCGGACTATTGTCCTCATCTTCCTTGTTGTTATCATAACGTTTCAGTCGTTGTGCTCACCGGCCTTCATCAGGTGCATATACATCTGAGTAACCTACAGGGAATTCTGAACTGAATCCTTTATTTAATCTACGAGGGTACACTGTTCTTGTTCCACTGGCAATATCAAGGGATACCCTGTTTAGTTCATTCGTTTAATGCTTTCCCGTTTCCATTGAGTTCAAATACACACTGCCCGGCTCAGAGATTGAACTCACAATTACCAATTCAATCAAATTCACGAAGCGACGCTTAAATCCACTAGGACAGATCTTTGTGGTGAACTTGGATATAATATTATTTCTTTTAAGTCAAATAATTCTTTTTTCGAATAAAGCATTTTTTTCTTTTTTGCTTTAATTTTACGGAGTAAAAAGTTGCATTACGAAATAAAAAGTGCGGTAAAAATTTAACATATCTTTTTATATGTTAGAAACACAGTTTAGACAACGAAAAGTTGATCGTTAGTGTATTTGCTTTTATGAATAAAAGATTCATAGAGAAAAATAATAAATTAACTTAAGTGATAAATGTTGCATTAACTTTCAAGTGATGCGGCCAATATTCCTAAATTACATCTTTTTAGTGAATTTCAAATAAAACGGGGTTTTTGTTTTGCAATAGAATTTATATAACAAATCCGAAGAAAGTAGAATAAATAAATTTTATATTTATTTCAATTAAATAAGCTTACGTTAACCGAAGTAGAAAAGTAAACATTTCTTTGAATTTCTTAAGCCAACTGCAACAGCGAACTACCGAAATTCCAAACTGAAACTAAAATGCGTTGTCCACAGTGGAGTGAGTAGCTTTGGAAACAGGTTTCCAGTTCTACTCCTTAGTTACACTATGAATGTGTGTATAGTATAGAACGCCAGGCTACAGAAGAAAAGAATTCAATAAAGAAGTATCAATGACCTGTGAGACAATGTTTCCAGTTCTACTCCTTAGTTACACTATGAATGTGTGTATAGTATAGAACGCCAGGCTACAGAAGAAAAGAATTCAATAAAGAAGTATCAATGACCTGTGAGACAATGTTTCCAGTTCTACTCCTTAGTTACACTATGAATGTGTGTATAGTATAGAACGCCAGGCTACAGAAGAAAAGAATTCAATAAAGAAGTATCAATGACCTGTGAGACAATGTTTCCAGTTCTACTCCTTAGTTACACTATGAATGTGTGTATAGTATAGAACGCCAGACTTCAAGAGAAAAGAAGTTAATAAAGAAGTATCAATGACCTGTGAGACAATGTTTCCAGTTCTACTCCTTAGTTACACTATGAATGTGTGTATAGTATAGAACGCCAGACTTCAAGAGAAAAGAAGTTAATAAAGAGACACCAATGATCTGCAAAACCATATGTGCACGAGAATGTGCCATTTATTTTCATCAATTTTTTTTTGTGATTAACTTACCTCCTCAACTTCGCTATTTGAGAAAGTGGTTATGATCTCCATAGCTTCCCGTGAAGAAAGATACGCAGTCAATTTTTCTTTCAACTGGTCCTCATTTGCTTGAATCTTCATGTTGATTTCGCTAAAGATACGCTGCGAACGCTGTTGCAAAATGTCCATCTTTTTGTTGGTGACGTGAAATCTATTCTTTGCTTCAAACTCGGAGTAATCAGCTGTGCTGAATAAGGTCTTTGTGTGATGAAGACTCCGCGACACCATGTAGTTCAGCCATCTGAAACAACGTGAAAGCGAAATAAAAGATTGCTTGATAGAATTTTCTCTTGATTTTTCTTTCTTCTTCTTTTCCGTTTTCCTTCTACTTTTTCTTTTTTTTGGGGGGGGGGTAATATAGAAAGAGACAACATATGGGTAAAGAAAATATTTGAGAAAAAAGAAAGAAAGAAAGAAAGAAAGAAAATATGAATGATTAAAATATTTAAAGGGGGGAATAACAGAAAAATCTAATTTCTATCTTAATTTTGAGGATTATTTTAAATTATTTACATACGGACTATTGTCCCCATCTTTCATCTTTCATCTTTCTTTATTGTTATCACAACGTTTCGATCGTTGTGCCCTCCGGCCTTCAACAGGTGCTTGTCGATCCCGGTAACCTTCAGTGATTTTCAAATTGAACCCTTTATTTAATCTAGTGGGTAGAACCTACGCTTAGATCGATTAGGCTATTGTAGACTATTATTTTCAGTTCAGAATTCCTGAAAGTAACCCAGATCAATAAGTGCCTGATGACGTTGGAGGGCACAAAAGTCGAAAAGTTATGATAAACAACACAGATGCGAACACGACACAGTTCGTGTGTAAATAAGAAAAAATTGAAAGAAAGGATGAAACAAAAAAGCCTTTTGAGGGGAAAACGGAATACGAAAAATATCACCTAAAAGTAAGTTCCACCCAAACAGCTTCTTCCCGCAAACCACTGCCCTGTGGAACAGACTTCTAAGTGAATGTTTCTCCGATCACTACAATCTTAATCTGTTCAAGTCTAGAGTTAACAATTATATCCCCCTCTTATATACGAACATTACTGTAAAAAAATTTTTTTAAAAAATGAAAAAGGAAGAAAACGAGAGAAACGAAGAAGTAATAGTTTATAAAAAAAAAAAAAAAGATTTGTGGAGGAAAATTGGAAAAAAAGAAAAAATGTTAATGAGATTTATTTCTCCAAAGAAAATAGAGAACTGAGAAAATTAAGTAAATAAAAAGGAAGGAAAAATCTATAGAAATAAGGAAGGGAATTTAATGATAAATCCTCGAATTTAGGAAACTATAAGTTTGAGAAAAATAAATCTACCATATACAAGTTAAAAGTAGGGGTATTTCGACGTGGTCTAATAGCAAGTTTGTCTTGCTAGAACCATTGCAACTGAGTAGTGAGCGCAATTCTCACTGAGTGCCCCATACTTTCGGCCTTGTGCGATATCTAAGCTATGCTTACAAAAAACATTTGTCTGGATAGAACAATTACGACTGAATTCGGCCTTTTGCTACATCTAAGCAACGATTAGAAAATCATTTGGCACGTCCAATTGGTATAACTGTTATCAAGTTTGTCTAGTAAGATCAGTTACGACTGAGTAGTGAGCTCGTTCCTTACTGGGTGCTCTTATGTCAAATCTAAGCTGCACTTAGAAAATTATCTGGGACTTTGACATGGTTAGCAAGACTGTTTCGTAAAATCAATTATGCGTGAATTCGATCTTCACTGACTGCACTACACTTTCAGTCCTCATTTGGTGCTCTAAGCATCTAAGCTACGATTCTAAAATCATTACGACTGAGTAGTGATTTTGAGCCTCACTGGGTGCTCCACATTTCCAGCCTTGTGCCACATCTAAACTACATCTGAAAAATTATCTGACTCTTCGACGTGGTGTAATTGTCAGCAAGCTTATCTCGTAAGATCAATTACGACGAAGTAGTTAGTTCGATACTCACTGGATGCTCCTTTATCTCGGCATTGTATCATAAATAAGCTATGCTTAGTAAATCGTTATACAACTTAAAAGTATTTTGGGAAGACATTTTTATTGTAGAAAATTATATAAAGAAAGTCGTACCTGAAGAATCTTTTCATAATGAGGCATGTAGCTTTCTGCACAATGTTGCTTATTCCTTTTAGAAGTTGAGTGTAAGATTCTGATTGAAAACCATTCTGATAGTGTCGAAGAGCTGATACTGCCGACATGAAAAGCATTTCCGATTTTTCCACTGGCCAGCAATTCATGAGTCTTTTCTGCGCATGCTCCTGCACTTTCATTTTGTCTTCATCCGGTACAAGATCCCAACGGTTGCACACAAACAATGCTGCTAGATTTTCCTGAAGGCAAGTATCGGTTGGATCAGTGCGTCCAGACTGCTGTTTTTCAAGGACTATATTCAATAGTTTCAGAATCTGTTGACAGAAGAGTAATAGATATTAAATGTCTATTTTTTTTTTCAATTTTTACTTTAAACTGTGTGTATTACGTCTATCGGACTGCGTATTCAAGATATATTAATAAAGAAAAATTGTTTTCCGAAGGAATCGAAACTGCGTCCCCACCACCTTTGTAGGAGAAACCACCTTTTGATCCGGTGTGTTTTTCTTTAAGATTTCTTGAACTCGAACGTCAACAGACGTAATATATCCACTATAACGTTTGAAGTAATATATATATATATATATATATATATATATATATATATATATATATATATATATATATATATATATATATAAAATAAATACAACAACCATCATTTACAACTTTACATCGAGAAACATTGAAGATACAGGGGCACTTAGCTTTAAATTTTTAAGAATCTATTTTTAATTAAAAGAGACAGTATAAGATGAAAATGTAGAAAATGTACTTGGATTTTGGAATGATTCACTGTAAATTTACGTCTCTCCTATTCCAGGGGTCACCAAACTTTTTTTCACAGAAGGACAGATAACTGAAAGAATGACGAATTTTGTTCAATACAATACACTGAATACACAAAGCATAACCACAATAAACATTTATTTACCAAAAGGTTATCAAAGAAGGTGACATTAGCAATAAAATAATTATATCACACCCAGTGTGCAATTATCCGAATCTCACAAACTAAGCTGCCAAAAAGGAGATTTGTGAAACTGGCGTTACCTTTTAATCAGTTTATTTTAGAATTGCTGCATCCAACCAAGAGTATTGCTTTTAGTTTCAAATGTGCACAAGTCAACCTTGTTAATTGTGCTGACTTTACACACTTTAGATTTTATAATGATTTCAGGCAAAATATATGACACAATTCGCTAATATCAATCCTTTTTATATAAGGCACTCTTTAGACCAACTTAAACATGGCAATTCAAGATAAAACAAGATCATTGCAGCTGGCTTTTTATCGCCGAATTTTTTATTTCACTGATTTTCCTAAAACTTATATTACTGCCAGATGCAAAATTCAAATTGACCAAATTTTGGCATTTTTACATATATTTTTTTTTTTTTCTACATAGTAAGTTTAACAACAATTTATTGATAATTCCTTATAAATAATTTGATTATAATTTAGCTCATTTGTGGCACAGTACGGCGGCAGACTGGATGAACTTATCGCGAGCCGTAGTTTGGTGACCCCTGTTTTATTGTAAAAAAGAAAACTATTGTTATTAAGATGTGAAATATGTAAAAACAATAGCGACCAGATCAAATTAAAAGCGATAGTTAAGTCAATGAAGTCGGACGTCGAAATTTTAAGAATTTAAATTGAAAGCTTTATTTATACTGCAAGGAAAAATGACAATACGTCATTGCAGAACTTCACACAAATATATGCAAAAGCTATTTATGAATTTTGTCAAACACTAAAAGTTTAAAAAAATTAAATCTTGTGAAAAACAATACAATACCCTGTCTTCTTGCACTCCTCCGTCCCCACCGTCGATCTTTATAACATAGATAAAACCTTGAATGTTATTTTCTTGTATAAACTTCTTTAGCAGATCTTCCATGGCATCATTTTCTCCAATACCTGGCGTGTCTATCAGCACCAATCCACCCTGCAAAAATGAAAAAAAAAAGTTGACAATAAAATATTTAAAAAATAGAAAATCTCAAACTTATGAATTTAGCTAAAATTGGTTTTAATTAGTATATTAGAGAAGCAATTCCCAACGTGGGGCTAATTACCCGTAAATAGCTAATTTGAGATTTCTAGTGGTCAATGCATGGTTGTAAGCAAAAGGGAACAGCCGAAAATGCAACTTACAAATCGGAGATACCAAAATCGAACAAGTAAAAAAATTAAGTATCTGGGAAACCTTTTTTAACAGAGGACAGAAAGTGCGACGCTGAAATTCGAAGGTTATATAAGAATAACCAAGGTTGCATTCCAAAAATTAAGTAGAGTATTAAGAAACAGAAAAAAAATCATTGGAAAAAAAAATATTTCTGAACTGTTACAAGATATCTGCCTTCCTGCAGTCCATGCTGGACGATCTCCTTAAAGATGAAGAAGAGATATGAAGCAACAGAAATGTGTTTCTACAGAAGGATGGTTAGAATGCCATGGACCGAATATGTGAGCAACGACGAAATTTTAGAGAAAAAGTAAACAAAAAGGGAACTTATAATTAACATCAGGAAGAGACAGATGAAATCTCTAGGACAAATAAAGAGGAAAGATGACTTGGAAAATTTGATACTCACAGAACAGACTGAAGGCAAGATGGAAAAAGAAAAAAAACGCATAACATACTTACCGAACTTGAGTAAATGGATGGCGGAACAGGGTTTAGGGGAAATAATAAAAAGACAAAATTTATTAAGAGCTACAAAGGACAGGAAATTGTGGAGAGCCATGATCGCCTATGTCCTAAAGGGACATGACATCTGAAGAAGTGGTTAACGGCACCTTTACAAAAACATACTGTTTTTGCTTTTTTATTCAATTTTTTTTAATGAGAATAATGTTTGTGCGCCATGTACACACATACCTACACAAAATACATGTACACACATACCTACACAAAATACTACCACATGACGAAAAGAAGAAAATAAAAGACCCTTCTATTCATTTTATTTTGGTGTTAAAACTCCTAATCCCCGAGTTTCTTAAAAGTAATATAAATTGGATCAGCAACGAAAAATAGATGCCAAATGCACTTACATTTTTATTCCAATTCATTCATCTGAAAAGAACATTCATTTCATGTCAAAGTTTCCCATATCAACCCGCTTTAAATTATACTTAATTTAATTTCTTTTTTAATCTTAATTATTTGTTTAAAATTATTATTATTATTATTCTGTTCTGTAAAAGTATTATTATTATTATCATTATTATTATTATTATTATTTTTTCTGTAAAATTATTATTATTATTATTATTATTATTCTGTTCTGTAAAATTATTATTATTATTATTATGTTCTGTAAAATTATTGTTATTATTATTATTATGTTCTGTAAAATTATTGTTATTATTATTATTATGTTCTGTAAAATTATTGTTATTATTATTCTGTTTTGTAAAATTATTATTATTATTATTATTCTGTTATGTAAAATCATTTTTCAGTAGAAACGCATAAGTAAGAAAAATGCATTAAAAGACAACATGGCATGTCCAGCAGACTTGATCGGCATAAAACATAAAATTCTACACCAGATACAATCATTTGGAAACAAATAAAAATAGATACAGATATTAATAACTTATTACTATTTCACAGACGTAAGTTAACTGGAACAAAGCACGGTTTGTTAATGTTAACGCCTTCAAAACGAAACTGCTCTCTATTAATCAAAAGATACCTCTTTCTGCTTTCCATCAGTATGGCTGATGCTAACCTCCAGGAGATTGACGTTTTCGGTTGACATGAAATGAAAAGACTATATTGAATTCATTGCTACTTCAGCTGCTAATAAAGATGGTTCCCTGTGTTGTGCCAAAGAAAAAATTCTCTCCAGAATTTATCTTGCATAGCTATAAGTCTATCATTTGTCCATGCTTAAAATAGTGCTGCCACATATAGTTTGGTGCCCCTGCTCTATATCTAGAGATCCTTGATAAAATCCAAAGAAGAATCAGCAATACTATTGATCCTGATCTGGCGTCTCGGCTTCAGTCACTTTCCCACCACCATAAGGTTGCTTCCCTGTGCCTTTTCTATAAATACTTCCATAGTAATCGTCTCTATGGCCCCTTTTATTTCTGACCCTACTCTCTTTAGTTTATTTCTCCTTCCCTCCCCCGTTTAGGCAAGCAGAGACTGCAATTCTCTAATGGATGCTGGGCGCCTTTCGTTTCGGTTGTGATTTTCATATTTGTTGTTGTGAGTTTTTGAGTGTGAGTTTGAGTGAGTACTTGGAATAAATGAATATTTTATATTATTATAGTCCTGCATTGATTTCGTCTAGTTAACTGATGTTTCTGTCGCATTTAAGGATTGAAGGTGGTTATTACTTATATATATATATATATATATATATATATATATTGGTTTCTTGTAAATAGTTTTGTTTTCATATTGTAAATAAACATTGAGGCTAGGTTTTTAAATTGTTGTTTTATCCGCCCCCTCGGACAATTAATTGTGAATATGGGGACTAGTTTGGACTTTCATAGAGACAATGAGGTATTATGGTGGGTGTAGTAAGAAAGGTAAGTAAGAATGCCTTGTTTTGGTATAAGGAGTATTGTGGTATGTTTGGGTCAGTTTTTGTGGCTTGCTAAGTTTTATGTTAAGACAGAAGAAGACCATCCATTTTCCCATTCCCCATGTTGGCCTTGTGCCACATTTTGTATCATTGTACAAATAAATATCGCTCTTCTCTAGGGTACCTAAACTTTTTGAATTTAAGCACCGTACTGGACTGGCGACGAGATCTCATCAATTTACAGTCGAGTTCGTTAGATGTAACTGTCAGTTCTTTGTTAACGGCTTCTTTTATCGCACTTCCGCTTGTGGAACTCTCTTCCGGCTTCATGCTTCCCAGTAAGTGCAATATCAATCGCTGACTACTGTCGTAATTTGGAAGGAGGGATTGGAAAATCTGATACTCACGGGACAGAGGAAAGCAACGCGTAAAATACTTGAAGGGCTTGAGCTACTGGATGGCAGAACAGGGTTTGGGTAAAATAACACAAAGACACATGTTATTAAGAGCTACAAGGAACAGGAGGGTGTAGAGGGCCATGATCGCCCACGTCCTGATGGGATACGGCAGATAAAAGAAAAGAAGCAATCTTTCTCTTTTGTAATTCATCCATACCCATTAACTCTTTGTGTCGTAGTAGATTTATTGCCTTTCTTGGGTTGAAAGAAAGAAAAAAGTAAGTAGAGTCAGTTAGTACCTACTCACCCGTAATAAGTCACTGGGTATAAAGACTTCCACTTCCTTAATATCCGGGCCTCGTTCTCGTCGTGTCCGTTTAAAAAGTGCGTCTTTCATTTTAGTCTCGGCTTCATCATTATCTGTAATGTCAAACTCTTCTATTTCCATTGTACAACTGGTGATACGAACTCGCTTCCGCGGTCCCCATTTGATTTTGCATATAGTCGACGTGCAGCTGAGGGCATGGTGTGGTAACACGTTTTCACCTAGGAGAAGGTTGAGTAAGGTACTTTTGCCGGCTCCCGTCTCTCCTGAAGAAAAAAATAAATAAACACACAATCACGTTACTAAATCTGGTGAGAGAACATGTCACTCGCCATTTAAAGGAATGATAGAAAAAATATATATATCAAGTCAGTTTTCTAATCAGTTGCTTTCGTTTTACATTTTCTCGCATTCTAAAATGTATAGCGTAGAAATGGTGTTTATATTCAACTAAAATATTTCTCGAATAAAAACTATCATATTTTTTCAATAAAAATGCTCTCTTTAGAATGTTAATAACTTCTTAAAAGTTTGTAAATTCAATAAACAGTTCATATACATAGTTTATAAGAGTATCCAACTCCTCACCCTCAATATGCTTGAAGAAGTTTAAAAATGTTCTACAACAAAAATTCAATATTTTCTCTTCTCCTCTAACTATCTCGATCCAGAACTTTAGGTTTTACGTTGGAGTAATGGATAGTGGCTCGGATTGAGGAATCGGAATGCCGAGTTCGAATTCCGGTTGAATCCATCACATTCACTTACTAATCAGTTGCCGAATCAAACGTAATTCATCCGCGTTCCAATAAAAAGAAAATTCCACCTTGACAGATTCTTCCCAAAAATGGCCCCTGCGTAGGAGATTTCTTGAATCTTTCAATCTTGACTCCATCAAGTCAAAGGTCAATCGTTATCTATCTTCCTTATCCTCATAATCCCCGCTCTCTACCACCTTTTATTCATACAGTTCATTCATCATTACCATTTCAATATAATCCTCTACCTGGAGTAGCTCTCGAGCCTTGTATTTGGTGATATATAGTAAATGTATTTATCTATCTATCTCTTTCTCTTTATACATACATACATATATATATATATATATATATATATATATATATATATATATATATAGATATTGATGCATGTTTCATTAAATAATATAGATAAGTTTTGTCTATTTATTTTAAGTAATTTCCTTTCATATTGTCTGATAAGTTTAATGACATTACCATTGAAGGACAAAAGGAAATCACCATATTGATACATGTTTAAATCCAATCTAAGCTTTCGGCTTACATAAGCCATTATCAAAGATGACAATTAAAATAAAGAAAATTGCTGCCTAAATATACACAAGATATATATATATAAATATATATATATATATATATATATATATATATATATATATATATATATATATATATTTTCAGAATTATTCTGGGAAATTTCATTATATATATATATATATATATATATATATATATAAAAATTTCAGGCATAATAACTAAAATATATCTGTAAAAACAGGATGTGAATAAAGACAAAAAAATTATCTTAGCCGACGCGTTTCGTCCTCTGGTGGAGTTTATCAAGACAACACTTAGCATCCCCCACAATTTACCTAGAATTTTCAGTCAGCCTGATGTATATCTTTGGGCGTTCTTAAATTTAAAAATTTTGAAAAACTAACAACAGTTTTAATTTTGTTAATAAATACATGTTGCATAATAAAATCTCTAAAAATCTGGCATAATCATAAGTTTTTATTTAAGAACTCTTACAATTTGCAACCTCGAATATTTACCAGATGAAAAAAAAATGAATTGAAACATTCTCCTCTGCCCCAGTTATTTCAGATATAATGCCAAACAAAAAGCATATATATATATATATATATATATATATATATATATATATAGGTATGTGTATGATAAAAAACATACATACACGCATGAAAAATTTTACATACGTATAGATATATTTCTTTCACAGGTGTTATAAATAAAGTGCTCAATGTTATGAGACAGAGCTATAAGTATATTATATATATATATATATATATATATATATATAGTGAATATACATAATGGTGTATATATATATATATATATATATATATATACATACAGACACACATACACCATTATGTTTACACACACTGTATCCCTGATATTCAACACTTTAATCCATAAATGTAGCATACCTTTTAACATTTTATCATATATATATATATATATATATATATATATATATATATATATATATATATATATAATTGGTTTGTTATGAGTTGGAAAATCTTCATGATTTTATCTATTGATAGGGAGAAGTTTATTTTACTGTACTAGATTGATTTTTTTTTCTAATACCTTAATACCAACGTTCCTTGTTCGTTCGTTGAGCTGATGTTCTATACCATATAGATACAGAGAAACCTATGGTTAGCAATAGGGTATAGCATGACAGATCAAATGACGGTTTCCATATAGGAATACAGGTTCGATTCCTGTCGGAGAACGCATATTTTCTACGAAATTTCTCGAACATTCAAGTCGGTAAATGCAATTAATACTGTTTAATTAATAAAAAAGTTAATGGAACACAAGATACTCAGGCGACACTGCGTGTAGTTCTTTGTAAAGCTGGAACAGAAACAAAGTAAAATAAACTTGTTGCTCACCTGAAACGACAATATTGCAGACTGCATCCTGAAGGCATTTTAGTTTATCTGTGACGTCACATGAAACATCGGAGAGTGTGTCTTCATTGGTCAAATGTTGACGCATATCCGGCGTAGAATTCTGTAGTATACAGTTGAATCGCTCGTACAAATTGCACAGTTCAAGTTTCTGTTGTTCAAATTGTTTCTTTATTTCGCTGAATTTGTCTATCTAAATAATAATAATAATAATAATAATAATCTTATATTAGTAATCATAATATAGACACTCTATTCATTCGTATAGAATTACTTCAAAGGTCTATATCTAAAAAATAAACATTATGAAATATATCATCGTAAGTATCATTTCTTTATTATGTACTACTGTTCATCTCACACAAGACCCAAGATTAACTCAAATGTAGAATGTTGCCGAGTGAATCTGTTGTAAAGGTGTCAAAGAATTGTATATCATGAGGATATATCTGATAAATGACGTTTGATCATTGACTTGCAGAGCTTAATATCGAAGTCACCGACGAAGCATCCTCTTGGGATTCTATTCCACAAATTTCTGGAAAAGAAACTGTCTGGATGAAACTTCCTCCTTACCAATGAAATACGAAATGATTGAGGATGAGTCGACCTAATTCACATAGCATGGCGGATGCTAGCTTTGAAGATCTGAACCGGTGAAACTCAGGAATATAGCTCATTTGAACATTTTCCATGAAGATAGCGATAGAGAGAGGCTACCAACGTTTCACCCATGGGAAAGTGTTGCAGGGTGGGAAATAATTCATCATCCTAAAGTCCGCGTAAACGCTTTTGAAGTGAGGACTGAGTAGCTCCAGCCCAAATAAGGCAGCAATACTCCATTGTTGGTCTGATGTGATTCTTGTAAAGATAGAGCATCGTGGGAGGGGTCAGGTAATTTCTACAGTGATACAAGGTAACGAACATGTATTATTATTTTTATTTTATTTTTTTCCATGTTTAGTGATGGTGTGAATATAGGAGTTCCACTTGAGGTCTGGAGAGAGCTTGAAGTAAACAGTATCAGTTACATTTAACGGCCTGAATGTTCGAGAAATTTCGTAGGTAAATGTAATTAATACTGTTTAATTAAAAAAAATGAAGCATTTCCTTAAATAAATTATATTTATAAAAATAACATATCAACAGAAAATATATTAAATAATTGTCGGACTTAATCCATTTCATAATATGTTGTCATTGTTTAAGTTATATTTCTGGAGCAGATATGGTCGATCGAGAAAATCGTCGGTGTGTGTGTTTATAAACAGTAATTCAGACTTTGCTAACCAGCCGCTTTTTTTGTGGCTGAATGATTAACAGCACGTCAGATCAAATGATGGTTCCCAATAGGGTTACAGGTTCGATTCCTGTCAGTGCATATTTTCTACCAAATATCTCAAAGATTCTGGCCCATAAATCTAATTAATACAGTTTAATTTAAAAAAAAACAGAGCATTTACTTAAATAAATTACATCTGTAAAAATAACGTATAAATATAAAATATATTAAATAATTGTCGGACTTAATCCATTTCATAATACATATATATATATATATATATATATATATATATATATGTGTGTGTGTGTGTGTGTGTGTGTCATTGAATAATTTAGACAAGTTCAGACGATTGCATCATTTCATATTCATGGACAACCTTCTTGGTGTCGTTATTAAAGGAAGGCAGAAAATTACCGTGTTGATACATATTCATTTATTCCGATTACTTTCGACATTATCACAATGTCATCATCATGGTGTTGCTTTTTTCTAATGAAACATATCTCAATGAAAACATACTGCCAAAATATACGCACTGGCTGCTGTGGCAATGAAGGCTGGATTTTAATGTTTTTGAACAGTTAATAAAAAATAGTCAAAAATTAATAAAGGTTATTATCTGAAGGGATGAACAGGAATAGATCAGATAGATAGATAGATAGATAGATAGATAGATAGATAGATAGATTTCAACGGTTCACATGTTCTTCTCTCACGTTGTACATTAACAATGAACTTGAATCCACCCTGACCCACTCACAACGAACGCTTTCCTGATACTTCTCGAAGAACATTTTATCTTTTTTCTATTGTTAATCATTTAGCTATTCCCACACAAATCGAGACCGGTATGAGACCTGGTAGGATGTGTTGAAGACTTTTAGATATAAATAACCTATTTCATATCGCCCATCAATCTTGTAAAGGCACATTTATCCTCTCACTCAATTTTTATACTTTTTCGAAATTTCTTTTCACTTTCGATTATTAACAATTTTTTTAAAAATTTAAGCAGTGACATAAATATTTTTATAAACCAGGATTAGTTTTTATAAAAGGTGTTCAGAAGCATAAGCTATGGTTTAGATAGCTATCTTTCGATGTAGTGCAGTGTGTTTATCGATATTGTCTTGAAAGCTATTGGGAATCTTTTTATTCATTGTTGCATGTACATTTGTGAAGTATGAAAACGAATAGACAGATACTGTTGTCGGAGTTAACTCCTCCTTTCACTCCGTTAACCCTTTCACTAGGGGTCTCTCTTTCCTGGCTATAAATAGCCAATGACCCTTTCGCCTCGACCTCTTTTTTCCTTTTCAGGCCTGTGCACTAACACCCCGAGGTAAATTTCTCTTCTTCCTAGAGGATTTCAACTATCAACCTCGAAATGTAGTCCCTAACAAGAAATAGCGTGAAATCACGCTAAGCACAATACACACACGCTCGCACACACTGAATATTCACACACACTTCGTCCTTTGTACTGTTTCCCTGTATTGTAACTTGTTATGAATATATATTTGTTGTGTATACATATATTATCGGTCTTGTTTTTGTTTGCTTTCTTTTCCTTCTTCTTTGGACTTAATCAAAGTCCAACCTTTTTATGTAGTTGGGCCCGGCGGGCAGGAGTATCTGAACCTTACAGGCATTTCGTCCACGTCTGACTTCTATCAACAACATAACTGCCATGGCCCTCTACACTGTTGTCGTGTGCTAATTTAAATTTAGTTGCTGCGATCAACTGATCTACGTTTCGTTTCGCTTCGATCGAAAAATATGTTTAACAAGATGACATGTTATCGGCCATTCTCTTTTGGGTTGGATTGCCAGTTGCTGTTTTAAACGCGAAAGAAATCGGCTCAAGAAGACGGTTTTAATAATAATTAGATAAATGGCGATGGTGATATTACCAATCTCTGTACAAGAAACTTTCTACATTCATAGACAACGTTACAGCCAGTTGAAATTTACGAAATCTTTTTCGTAAAAGTTTTCCTGTCCACTTCTTGTTCCTCCCTCAGCCACCTATTAGCCACCTGAGAGTACAAACTCCAGAATCTATCATACATATCTATAAGTCTACTCTTCGCCCATGCTTAGAATTTTGCTGTCACATCTGGTCCGGTGCTCCTGCTATTTATCTTGAGCTCCTTGATAAAATCCAAAGAATCAGCAACATTATTGGTCTTGATCTGGCGGCTCGGCTTCATTCACTTTCCCACCGCCGCAAAGATGAGTTCTTTGTTATGATATCTAGACTTTTGGGATTTAAGCGCCGTACTGGACTGGCCACGGGAACTCATTAAATTACAGTTGAATTGGTTAGCTGTAGCAGAAAATTCTTTGCTATCAGTTTCTTTCCTCACACTTCTCGCTTATGGAACTCTCTTCCGGCACCACGCTTTCCAGCCAACTTTAATTTACAAAAAAATTAAATACAATGTCAATCGCTATCTACTGTCACCCTGATTAATCATTTCTCTTGCCGCTCATTAGTAATGTTTCTGTTCCTAATTCTTCCACACCCAGTAACCCCTTGTGTCTTAGGAAGTGATGCACTGGTGTTGCTAACACGGACTAACTTGTCATCGTCTCTGAGGGTTCGATTGTACTTATTCAACGATTGATCGCTCCAAATTATGCATTCTCTCTCAGAAACTTTAATTAACGTCGTATAAAAGCGTAGATTGGCATACCCGGATATATATATATATATATATATATATATATATATATATATATATATATATATATATATATATATATATGTGTGTGTGTGTGTGTGTGTGTGTGTGTATAAATATATATGTCTATATATATATATATATATATATATATATATATATATATATATATACACACACACACACACATATATATATATATACATACATATATATATATATATATATATATATAATTTTCATATAGACAAAAACAATTTACTCACTACAAAGATGCAACTTCGTTTCAGTGCATTTAATTGCACTTCAACTGGTGAGAACTAACCTAAATGGTTATGAACAGTTCTGTTTAAGTAAGCCGCATGTGAAACATCACTTCCCTTTTCCATTTGTTTGAAAAATTAAATATAAAAGCAAAAAGGTGACGGGGTGAAACAATAGTGCTTGTTGATATATATATTACTCACCACAGGGAACTATCCCAGCCACCCGTTAGAATGTCTGATGCTCAACTCTACGAGAGCACCTCTTAGCGACTGCTTGTCCGCTGACCTGAGATGGAACAATTACATTGAATCAATAGCTTCATTCACTGCAAGGAAAGTGAGCGCTCAGGGGAGGCTCCGTCAAAGGACGGAGTCGCAACTAAGGAAAATTATATTGAGAGGTGGTCAGCCCTGGAGAACAGCTGCCCGAGGCCGCGCCCTTAATTGCACTAGAGAGAGGGGTCGGTACTCGCACCAAGGCCAGTGCAACCGATTTTTGTTCCTAGCCCGGTGTACGCGCTTGGTCTCCCCACATTAAACCGACCTTGTGTCACAGCCCGACCTCGTTGGAGGGTTGATTAAATACAAATCAATAAGTCATTCTTTGCCCCAGTTAACAAAAGAATGTAGGTTATTTTTGTGATATTATCGAACCGCTCAGACTTACTATTAAGACAAGAATAATTAGTTGTGTCATCAACATAGATGCCGAGTTGAGAACCGATGCTTGCATTAATGCAAAAAGATCTAGGAGAGTAGTCATTTAAGATAAATTTCATTTCGTGATTTCATAAAAAGGACTGAATCAATTCAAAAATTAGTACAGAAATAAAAGATTACGACACGTGAAGAAGACCAATTTGTCAATTCCCGTTAAATGCCTTCAAGATATGCAAGGCAACAGATATATCAAAGATTGTTTATCTATCTGTCTGTTCCAATATCTATCTATCTA